GTGAAACATAGAAAGCTTGCCCTTCTATATATGGGGATGGATCCCAAAGGAAATTCAGTGCACCTCGGTGATGCCTCGAACACTGAAAGATCCAAACACGATTTTGAGTTACATGCATCTCTCTAAAATTGGCTCGATTCTGCATGGGATTACAGCAGATATGGAAAGAGTGGAACACCAGAACCCTTGAAGTCCAAACTCCTGAAAATGCCGGCCAAACTCGAATTAAGTTCTTCTATGTTGAAGGTCACGCGCCGAAACGCCTTTCTCTTTTATGGAAACCGAGCCCTCCTAAACAACTTGATAGATGTCATAGAGGTGAGACAAAACGGATCTAATTATTAGTTGGGGAGAAAAGCAATAAGGGGTATTCAATATGGAAAACCTTTATTGAAATGACGAAAAGTAAAAGAGAATAATCAAAGCCAAAATTTAAGGGAAAAATATAAAATTGGAGGGCATAACGGTCATGAACATAGAAACGGTCAATCGAAACGCCAAATTACAAGGGGCATTTCCGTCACTTCTTGTTAATAGAATTCGCGCTTTCGAGATTAATCACAAAACAGGCGCAACGGAAAGAAGGAAAATGAAGCCGCGTTTAGTGAGGGTAATGTGATACGGTTTGTATGCGGTCAGCCCGCATATTGTAGAAATGCGGGTTTGGCAATAAATATATTTTAATTTTAATTTTTAGAGAATATATAATTTTTAACATGAAGATCATGAATACAAAAAAAATTAAAATTTTATATTAAAAAACATTTGGATTGTTAATTACACTTATTTTTAAATAGACCACCTATTTGCAGCCATCTTTAAGATGGATGATTTATAGCTCTGGTATTTTGTAGAAATGCAGTCCAATTCGTATGGAATAATTGTTCATAATAACTAAGAGATACACCACATTGCTACAATATGCACTCCAAAGGTAAAGCATCCATCTTAAATATGGAAGCGATGGAAACATGTGGTCCATCCAAAAACAAGTGTAACTAATGGTCTGTACATTTTTTTTAATATAATTATTATACCTCATGGTGCAAACCGGTGGTCCGTCCTCATGATCTCCATGTTGATTATATTTCATCTAAAAATTAGGATCATATTATATTTTAAAAAAAAAAAGTTTATATAAGGATGCAACCTTATAATGTAGAACTACAGATACACCTCAAAAATCCATTGAAAAAGATAATTTTAATGTTGCAAAACTCTTTGATTGATCATCTTGACATCGAGATGTATGATCAAGAAAAATAAAAATATTTTAAATCTAAAAAATAATACATTTTACAACATATTATCTACACTGTCCATTTTAAAGATTTCATATGTTTATAGATCTAATTGATTTTAATCATTTTTAAAATTTAAAATTTTATAATTAGATATAAAAGTAGATTTTTAAATAATTATAAAAATATTTTACATCAAAATTATATACCATGATAAAATCCGAAGGTGCACTTTACCTCTACAGCGGGATGCCAACGGCACCTTTCGAGAAATGTATTATTTGTGAAGCCCGCATTTCTACAATATGCGGGCTGGCCGCATGGAAACCGTGTCATGAAGAGAGAGAAAGAGGCAACTAAAAGAAGGAAAATGACGCCACGTTTTAGTTAGACAAATTGTATACCGCGAGAATGATGTGAGAGAGAAAGGAAGCGAAGCCGCGTTTTGAGAGTGTAGAGAGAGAATGTGGTGACCGGCAGGTCCAGTCACACGGTGACCACGCCGCGTAGATACCGGTCCTTTCAGTTACCGGGACAACGGACTGAAACGGGCTTTAATCTCCTCGCCCTAGAAACCAGGGTTCATTTTTTTTGTAGAGAGAGAATGGTAGGAGAGAGAAAGGAACCGGAAATTCGCAGATATGGCCAGTGAGAGAGTCGGATGAGAGAGAAAGAAGCGGGTAGAGCCATGAAGCCCTTCCTTACCATCGAAGAAGCCTACTGGTTCAGGCTCTCATTGACCTTGCCTTTGCCTTCTCTTGTTGGAGCAAACCACACATCTGCCAGGTTCTGCAGCCGCTAGTGAGTTTCTTTTCTCTCTCTAAATTTGTTCTCTCTCTCTAGAAATCGCTGTTTTTGTGGGGAGGAAATATCTGTGAAGCCCCACATGGCGAGTTGCTTCGTCTCTGTAACATTTCCTGGAAATTTTGTTTTCTTGGGAGAGAGGATTTCGCAACTAAGGGATTTAGGGTTTTCCATTTTGGGGTTTTTGTGTTCTTAACCCTGATTCTCTCTTGTTAGATCTGAGAGACCTTTATATTGTATAATATAGAGTTTTCTATTGATGTTTCTCTGTTGTGCTCCCAACTCCTCCATTGTTCTCTCCTCTAGAATCCCCAGACCGAACACATCCAGGGTTTCAATTTTTGGGGTGAAATCAAAGAGTGATATTCGTTATTTTTCTTCTGGTTTCTGGTGACATTAGCAAAACCCAGAAAGCAAAGCTCATAGATTCTGAATTAATTTATCTTCGCTTTTCTCTCTCCTCTTTGGATACCAAAATATTGGTTTATTTCGAATCTTGATTATCCATAGAAAAACCCTTTAAACAAGTTTGGGATTTTCTCAATTTGTTCGTTTTTTGTAGGAATTCTTTCTTTTCCTGGTTAATACCTGCAGAACCAACATCAAGAAATTCCAAAACAGGGAGGGGAAAGGAAGGATAAGAAATAAAAAGGGAAAATTCCCATAACTGGATTTCTTTTCATAATTTCCATGGGCATGGAGCCTAATCACAGGGCAATTTCTCTGAGGAATGTCATTGTAAGAGCCATGCTCTTTGGGGTCTTCATCCTTCTCTTGAGGTTTGTTTATGTGGTCACTATTCAAGATGTTTCTGAGACCTTCAATCTAATTGGTATTGAACCTGCTTTGAAACGATCTTTCCGATCCTCCGTAGACCAGTATTTCCAATTTCCCGTCGGTGAAACAGTTGATGAATCTCAGAAACGGCTATGGACCAGCAAGAACTGGAGAAAAACGGTGGATTTTTACTCTCTCTCTTTTCAAGACCTCTTAAAACAAAGCCTCATCTCTTCTCAATCCAAGGCCCTATGTGTGGGCACAAAGGACGGTCAGGATGTCCTAGCTCTCAAAGAGCTTGGTGTCTCAGATTCCATCGGCATTTCCTTGAACCCATCCCCGCCTCTTGTCATTTATGGTGACCTTTTCCAGCAACCTTTCCCCGAAGATACCTTTGATTTCGAGTTTTCTGGCAACTTGGACAGTACCCACTTGCCAGAAAATCTTGCCTCTGAAATGGTTCGCACCTTGAAGCCTGGCGGGGTCCTGGTATTGCAAACTTCTCATGCCAAAGACATGTACAGTTTTAATTCTTTCATTGATTTGTTCAAGTATTGTAGAGTTTTACAATCTAGAGAGAGAAACACGACCTCCCTTGGTGTTCTTAGAGAGATAGTTCTGATAAAAGATGAAAATCCCTATATGGATGTGGTCTCGGAAAGTGTAAACCAATGCTCCGTTCCTGAACATAAGAGAAAAATTGCGAGAATGGCAGAGCCACTTATAATGGAGGAGCCATTGAAGCCATGGCTCACTCTAAAGAGGAACATCAAGAACATCAAGTATCTCTCATCCATGGTGGACATAAGCTTCAAGAGGAAATATGTATATATTGATGTAGGCTCGAGGTCCTATGGTTCGAGCATTGGTAGCTGGTTCAAAAAGCAATATCCAAAGCAAAACAAGACCTTTGAGGTTTTTGCTATAGAGGCTGACAAGACCTTTCATGAGGAGTATTCGAAGAAGAAAGGGGTCAAGCTTGTGCCAAAGGCTGCTTGGGTTCGAGATGAAATGTTAAGGTTTGAGATCAACGGTGAGGATTCAGGGAATGGGCGGGGAATGGGTCGAATTCAAATGGATGGATCAAATGTGCAGGGGAGGCGGGAGGTGGTTGAGATCGAGGGCTTCGATTTTGCTAAGTGGGTGAAGAGTAATGTTGACAAGAGAGATTATGTGGTGATGAAGATGGATGTTGAAGGGACTGAGTTTGATCTCTTGCCTAACCTTTTTGAAACAGGGGCTATATGCTTGATTGATGAGATTTTTTTGGAGTGCCATTACAATAGGTGGCAAAAGTGCTGCCCTGAGAGATCCAAAAAGTATAAGAAGACTTATGGGGATTGTATGAATCTGTTTACTTCTCTCAGAGAGAGTGGAGTTCTGGTTCATCAGTGGTGGTAGAAAGAGAAAGGAAGGATTTAGGGTTGGGGATCAAAAGTGAGACCCATCCCTCTATTCTTTTGCTTTATCCCTTTTTGAGTTTTTCTTTACGAATTTTTTCTCTTTACATGTTTCTAGGGAGCTCCTCTTTCATTATTTTTTGTGTTATCTTTTACAGTGAAATGTGTAGCTTCTGATTCCATTTGTGATGATTAATCGGGAAACAAATTTGATTCAGTTGCATATTGTTATAGATAATGCAATTGTGCATGGTGATAAAAAATAAAATAAAATCTTTAAGTTCTTTTTTTTTACCCCAATCCCAACTGTAATTTGGTCGAGTTCTTACCTTTTCTAGACTTAAGCATAGTTTTCATACCTGGAGAGGATTTCAATGGTGATTGGTCACAAGAAAAATAGTAAGAGACAGATAGTCAAACCAGCTTCTTTTCTTCTCTTTTTTCTACTTGTTTTTTCTCTTTCTTCTATTTTTTTGATGTATTAATTTCTTTTGTTTTTCCGGGCAACCTCATCATTTGTAATGAATGGATACCAGTTTCTGGTTATATTTATTTGTTTAAAATGGAGCTTTGGTCTGGTTGATAGGGAAGAAGAAAGGAAAGATTATGAGCCTCATTATTTCTCATGAGTTCTAGTCAACAATGGTGGTTGGTGAAATGGGGCAGGTGGGGATCAATTGTAGCTATTTGTCTACCTTTTCCTTTTCTTTAGGATTTCTAATAGTTTTATTGTTAATTGGTCTTGTGATCATCATCATCATCATATTCTTTTTCCAATTAATTGGACTCCGGATCACATTATCAATTCTTTTTAAGAGCTCCATTTTCTTTTTATTTCCTTCTCCTGATGAGAACTGAGTAGAATGTGCAATTGGTATGATTATAGCAGTGGTTCAACGATGATGAGAAGATCATGGACAGACTGCCTTCTGTTTCTTCAACTCTGCGATATAGTTGATATATGCTTCATTTTTTAAAATCATCCTCTTCTTATGGAGGATTCTGGTAGTTTCTTCTTTTGATATATGCTTCTTTATTGAGAGCCGTCATCTTCTATATAGGATTATTGTACTTTTTTTTTTCTTATGTGACTTGTAGTTTAGACCGACTAAATGATAGTATCTTGTGTAGATTTTCTTAATTATTTGTAGATTTTCTTAATTATTTGTAACCAAATTTTGGCGAAGTCTTCTCTTTGATCGAAATCAGGTTTCCTTTGGTATGTTCTTCAATTTAGTTAAACCTTGAAGGTAGATCATCAAAAACTGATTTTTGGATATAAAACTTAGATTTGACACTAATATCATAAAAAAATTGAGTTTTGGATATTAAATTTGTAGTCGAAAATGTTTGGTACCCAAACCAGATCATTGACGAAAATTTAGAAGAGAGGGGAATATCTAAGGAAATACACGAAAGGGGTACATCAAAGTGTGCATGTATAATCTCACTTCTAGAAGTGGTAATCTCACTTCTAGAAGTAGGTTAGAGTCATCCAGTCCATGCGTTTAACTTTATCGATGAAAATTTCACACCATCTTAAAAGAGGCAGCATGTTTTAAAACTATTTAAAATGATGGGTCAAATCTACATTATTCAATTAAAATATAGACGGTGTAGAATATCACAATCTTATTTCTATAAATAAGAATTCTACCTCATGACACTATATACATTATATTTTTATAAGTAAGAATTCTAATTCATACAAATGACACTCTATATATATTGAATAAAGTTTCGTAAAAAATCTTTTAGAAGAGAGTTTCTTGGAGAGCCCTCCCAGTGATCATCTCAAATTTGAATGTGGATCGTGGATTTATCAACTATGTGGTCTCATTTATATAAGATTGCATCCTTATGCTATTAGTCAAAAATCCTCTAGAAGAGAGTGTAGAAGAGAGTGTTTCAAGGTTGGAGAGCCCACCAATTGATCATCTCAAATTTGAATGTGTGGATAGTGGATTTATCAAAGGGAAAAGTTTATATAAGGTTGCAACTTTAAAATGTAGAATCACCATATGCACCTCAAAATCTATCGAAAATATTATTTTAATGTTGAAAAAACCTTCTAATCAATCATCTCGATATTGAGATGTACCAATATGAAAAAGAAAAGGTTTTCGAGTCTCAGAAATAGTGCATCTTGCAACACATTATCTAGATCGTCTATTTTCAAGATTTTCATATATTTATAGATCTACTTAATTTTAACCATTTTTCAAACTTAAAAGTTTCTAATTAGGTATGAAAATAGATTTTAAGTTAATACTAAAAATTTTTAATAACAAAATTACATGTGATGATAAAATTTTAAAGTGCGCCATGATTGGATTGTTTAAGGTTCCATCCTCATAGAAACCGCACCCTTTTATCAAATATGTGGTCTCATTTACAAAAGTTGCGTTTTATCAAATATGTGGTCTCATTTACAAAAGTAGCTTGTTGACTCTGGAGTGGTACATATATAATTATCACAAAAAGTTAAAAGATACTTTTGTCATTTTTATAGGGTACGATTGAAATTTTTACTATAAAAGAAAAGTGTTGTTGTGCCAAAAATTTTTCATGACACTTGCGAAATACCATTGCACTGTAAGGTAATTATGTACGGGGAAATGTTTTTACGCGACCCAACAACATATAAGTTATATGGAACCATTTCTATCACGTTCAGATCGAACGGTTATGATTGTTCATACCACAATATCACACCAAACATTATTTTATTTTTCATATGTTTGTACAAAACATTTTTAGTAAAATTTTGGACGTACCATCGTAACATTAGAATGAACCTGGAAAAAATAAAAAATAAATATTTCCCATAAAAATAAATAACCAAAATGCCCCTACAAATGTATGGGGTATTTTGGTAATTTTTATCATCTAAAATAATATTTTAATATTTTTTTTATATGTGCCTCTGTCAGATCTATGCATGTCCCAAATTTTGCTTCAAACTTATTTGTAGAATAAGAAATAAATAAATAAAACACTATGAATCGTCTGATCAAGATCTAACGGTTAAGTGCAAGCTTGTGATAATATGACTCAAACCATCTTAGCCATCTACTACTCAAACCATCTTAGCCATCTACTCAGATTTGATAGCTGAAACCAGGATCACATATACCATATATGTGGGTGAGGTCACATAGAAAGCCTTCCCATTATGTAAAGACACAAAAAAGGCGAGAAAAAAAAAAAAAGAGTCAAATTTGCTAAAAAATTACAAGGAAGGTCACCTCCTGTAGTATTTTTTTTTTTTTCCAAAATACTCCTAGATCCGATGATACTATCCCCATACCGGTTTATATTTTGTTTTTTTTTGGTTTACCGGTTTGAATTTTTGTTTTTTTTTTTGTTTACTTAAATTGTCTGGGCCGTTTCTTATGTTTTAAGATAATTCGTAACTGCTCGTGGTGTGCCACCATTATAGGCATGAAACTGCAACATTGCAGCTCCTAGAAAGGTTGAGATAACTGCATCAATCAACTCATTAATAATACCATTTCACGCAGCTAATATTGCACCCTGCTAACATTGATCTTGATACTCCACTTTGGAAGATGTCATTGAAGATGGATTTTGTGACTTTGGTATTCTGACCGTCATACCATATGGTATTTTTATGTACTTTTTAAATATGGTTTCTTCAATGTCATCTCTAATATGGAGTAGGAAAGAAGGGTGGTGGAGGATCCCAATTTGGGTAGTCTGAGGATGATGATTTCGTATCGGTCGCCAACTATCCTAAAACATAGGATACATCCCAACAATGTAAGAAAACTAATATATCTATTCAAAATAGTTTGGGGATGGTATCCTCAAGCCAAGGAGCATTGTGGGAAAAACTAGAAAACGCTACACTAAATGACCTTCCTTTTAATTTTTGAAAAAACTCTACTCTTTTTTTTTTGTTTATATATATATATTACCAACTATTTTTGTATACATACATAGTTCCCTCTAGCATCTTCATGATTAAATTGCCCGTAAAAATAATCTTTCTAATAAAAAGCAATATTTTTTAGTAAATGCACATTTTAACAAAATGGAGTTAATTTGCTTTAGGAGCTTACCTTTGTTGAAAAAGTCTTTGAGAGCCTTATAAAGATCTTTACTGATGATTTCCCATGCAAATTTATAAAATTGCACTAAAAAGTTATCCGGGCCTGGAGTACTCTCGCTTATCATGTCCCATAGAGCGGCCTTAATTTCCTCCATGGTGACTACTTCGACCAATTTGGCTTACTGATCAAGAGATAGTGGACATGATACCAAAAATTGATCCGTCAGGTTAGTGTCAATATCACTTTCTTGAGCAAGCATATCCTAAAAAAAGTTGTTCATATGACTATCAATGTCAGCCTCATAGGCTAGCAAGTTCCCTGCTGACTTTTTAATGATATAATTCTATCATTTCATCTTTTTATCACCGTGGAGAGATGAAAGAACTTAGTATTTGGCCTCCCCGTCTTTAAGCTAATTTTCTCTAGATTTCTGTTTACATAATCTTTCTTCATGCCCTAACAGCATTTGAAGCCTTTGTATATTATCCTGCTCTTCTAACATCAGGGCCTCATTCCATTGATCAACATTTAAATTGTCATTTAACGAAGATAATAGATGTCTGACTGCTACAATCGATTCACTACCATGACCAAAGACGTCCTTGTTCCATGTGCACAAATCAGCCTTCAATCTCTTCAGTTTAGGCACAAACTGGTATATAGTCATGCCCCAACCTCTAGCTTGCCAAGATGTAGAAATTGTGTTCATGAAACCTTGGTGCTTTTCCCACATCATGAAATACTTAAAAGGTTTCCGTCCAATCAGAACCTCATATGAAATTGATACCAGAATCAAGCAATGATCAGAGTTACCCTTGTGAGAGTTACCCTTGTGAGGGAGCTCCACCTTAGATTTAGGAAAAGCCATAACCCAATCGACAATTGCCATTGCACGATCTAATATGCTCTTTATGTTCTTGCTGGTCTGACTATTCAACCAAGAGAACCATCCCCTGACTACCCTCAGGTCAGATAAGTTACAATCTGTCATCACTTGGGCAAAATCACTTGTCTAATGGTAATGAGCCACTTCCTCCCATTTTTTCTGAAATGTCCAATACTATATTAAAATCCCCCAGAACTAGCGCCATGGTTATGAAATTGCAGCATCCACAGTCTTCATATGATCCCACAACGAAATCCTCTGAGATATTGAA